ACCTGGGGCAGGGTAGTTTTTAGTTAATTTGACTGAGTGTTCAAAATTCATAAGGAAGATGTTTTTTGAAGAGAAACTACGAAGGCTATCCTTCATGTATAATGAATCTAGAGGATGTGGAACCACAATGTTAACCCTCGTTCATCAAGAAACGAGGCAATCACAATCTTCTCAACAAGCAAATGCAAGCTAATGTCACACATTTTGTTCAAAAAGTCAAAAATCGAGAAAAAGAAAAAGCCTGCTAAGTCAAAAAACATGAAAACGTGTGACTTAGGCAAAATTAAGGCATCCCGCTGGACTATCAATTCAAAAGAATTAGTTCAGGCAAAAGTTAGGGAAAATAAAAATTGCAAAGAAAAGTCCTCAACAAAGAACAAATTGGTGACTACAAACACGAAGACATGAGGGCGGTTTCTACTCCGAAAGCCTGGTCGTTTCCTTGACCGTCACAAAATCGTTTTGAGAGATGAACACTCATGTTGAATTAACTGAACATAGGGTTGGAGAACATCATGAAGAATGGGTGGGCACCAAATATTTTGAGCCTTAAAATATTTTTTCTAAAAAACCATGAACCAGACCACGTTACAACCTTCAAAAGTCCTAATTGAAGCAAGGTTATTTTGAAAGCATACTTCAATGAGATAGTGTTCCTGACTCCCATGAATGTTCTAAATAGTTATGTTGGTATCATATGTTTTTCCTATACAAAAATAAATGGTGCTTTGACTCGCAAAATTTGTGCGATATCTTTCAAAATCTTCAAGACTTACATAACTGTTGCATTAGAATTTTCATTCTCATTGTAAACTTTTTCTAACTGCAAAACATTTGTTTGATATCAAGGAAACTCACATATAAGCACCAGTGATGAGTCTATTCTTAAGGCCTGAAGCTCTGTTGAGTAATTGGCGGATCATTTCAAGAAAAATCATATGCAGGGGCATGTCACCTGAAGACCTTAAGCACGGACATGTTGCTTCTCCTAATTAATGCTTTCCCAACTTGTTTACTCTTTTGGGGCAAAATTTGAAGACTCTGTTGTGCCAACTACAGTCAATCCGGGGCAATCACGTCGAGATTTGATGAATTCCTCTAAGAGTTTGAAGACACCAGAGCATGGTGAATGCCAGGTCTTTTGTAAAATCCTCTTGAGACGATTTCTCCTCATCAACCAGATAGCTTGGGGCATTTTAGAAGTGAAGTTATTCGCAAGAATTGTCGTGCAACATGCAGCTTATCAGCAATAAACTTGGGGCATCCAAAATTAGTCCCAGGGGCAATCCAAATTTGTCAAGATATGTTTTGCACACATTATCAGAGGGTGGTGTTCCCAGTATCTCCAGCTAAGCAAGACTTCTTTCCAGCTGAAACTTTGTTTGTGTTGTTATCCTTTCGATGGATTGTTTGCAATAGAAGACTGGACTTTGGGTTTTCTACCTGAAAATATCTTCCTCTCCAGAGATATTTAAGCCTTGTAAAAGGACCTTGCTCCAATGATGGCCTGTGTTTTATCTCCAGTAATGTTCCCATCCTGTTGAGATTAGCTGAGTGTTGGGTTGTGCTATGATGTCTTGTCATCTCCCGTTTATCTTGTCTATTTGTGTTGTCAGCATATACATGACATTCATTTATTCATTCACACTTGCATCATGCATGCACAGTTGTATTTGTTGATGTCATTGAGTTCGTACACCTTGGTTATGTCTATTCAAATAACATATTTGATCTTTCCATATAGAGTGTCAACTTAAGCATAAAGTGTTCCTTCTTTCTAATTCCCCACTGAGTTAAATCTCGTGGAAGAATCTTGCTTTAGCTTTCCTTTTCCATCTCTGGATAGGATAAATCCCCATTTGAGTTATTTCCTCATTGGGTGGAGTCTTGTTTGACTATTTTCTCTCCAGTTTATTCCTGGATTGAGCTTTGTCTCTTGTGAACGATACCCTGTGGATATCTCTAGGCTGTGAAACCTAGATGGAGAGTGCATTTATTTTGCAATATAAATACTTGGTCTCCTCAAGAAGGATTCATTCATGGTTCCCCATTGAAGATGAAATTTATTCCCCAACAGTGTTATCACAGCCTTCTTCTGGAATATCGACATGACAACAAGCGACTGACTCTTTATTTGAGCAGTTTGATTATTTCTGATTTCTCTACGACAAATGGCGGTCTCTTCATGAGCAGTTTGTCCATCCTCGATGAAATTATTGATTCTCACCTCCAGCAATATCTTCACGATATTTTATGGGTATCTTTTTGGGAAACAGCAAGCGGCAGTCTCTTCATGAGGCAACTTGTGTGTTATGGATACTCTTGAGAAACAGCAAGCGGCAGTCTCTTCATGAGGCAACTTGTGTGTTATGGATACTCTTGAGAAACAGCAAGCGGCAGTCTCTTCATGAGGCAACTTGTGTGTTATGGATACTCTTGACAAACAGTAAGCGGCAGTCTCTTCATGGACAACTTGTATGTTATCAACACTTTTTTGAAAACGGCAAGTGGCGGTCTCTTCATGAGCAGCTTGTCCGGAAAACGGCAAGTGGCAGCTTCTTCATGAGCAGCTTATACGTTAGTATTTTTGGAAGACAGCAAGTGGCAGCTTAGCTATTCGAGCAACTTGTCTGTTATTGTCACCTTTGAAAACAGCAAGCGGCGGACTCTTCACGAGCAACTTGTGTGTCATTGATACCTTTGAAAAACATCAAGCGGCGGTCTCTTCATGAGCAACTTGTATGTTATTGATACCTTAGAGAAAACAGCAAGCGGCAGTCTCTTCACGAGCAACTTGTGTGTCATTATCACCTTTGAAAACATCAAGCGGCGGTCTCTTCATGAGCAACTTGTATGTTATTGATACCTTAGAGAAAACAACAAGCGGCAGCCTCTTCATGAGCAACTTGTATGTTATTGTCACCTTTGAAAACAGCAAGCGGCGGTCTCTTCATGAGCAACTTGTGTTATTGGCACCTTTGAAAGGAAGCAAGTGGCGGCCTCTTTATTTGAGCAGCTTGTGTATCCCCAACAATATTGTCTACTCAGCAAATGGCATCCCTTTCGGAAAAGTCCCGTGGGGAAGTTTGTTATTTTATCCTTTTCAAGCGATATCTTGGTTAAAGAAGAAATGTGTTACCGTTCTTGGTAAAATTCAGAAATCAGAGATGTTTATCTCCAGCCACAGTGCTGATGTCAATCATTTTGTCTCAGTGCTGATGTAAATCATTTCTTTTTCCAGTCTTCGTACTGATGTAAATCATCTCTTTTCCAGTCTCAATACTGATGTAAATCATTCTAGAGTCTCTCATTTGAAGTCTATGACTTTGTTTCCCCAGTGGAGTTACAACCTCTTCCTCTGTGGGATTACTGTATAATGTGCCTGGTTTCTCCAGCATAGTCTGTCTCATATGACGTCATTCCCCATAAAATTCAGAGCATTACATTCATATCATATCATGAACATAATCGCGGTATCTTAAGGCCAAAAATTGTGTATTCTATATTTAAGTCCCTTCAATCTCGTCGAAATGAAGATCCCAATCTTCATATCTCCAGATAGAAGAAACTTAAATAGGGGCAGCTGTTGTACCCCAATTTTTGACCTAAGATCCCATTTTTGCATTTTTTAAGATAAGTCAAGGTCACGAAATACGGTCGGTTTTAACGTCTCACCTTCGAGCTTTGACTATGCGAAGATTGTCAAGTGTTTTGAACATTTTTAGCCTATGTATCACTAATTTCTAATCGCATACAAAGGTGTATGTTCATGTTTTCTTTTGTTTCATATGCAGAGACAAGTCTGAATCAAGAGCATCAGGTGTCGCGCCTCAACTAAGGTTTTGAGTCTCTCAAGCCAGAAGTACGGTTGATTGTGGATTCTCGAAGACTGATTCATCAAGGCATAACTGTTGCACCCTTAATTTCGCCCCTAATTTTTTCAGTCGCACATTCATACCATATTTTGTCATTTGGTCACAATCATTAGTAAATATCTTCATTCATCACATTTTGCATCATTAGTCGTATTTAATTTGACCAGAAAAAGTCAGTTTAAATCAAAGTTTGCATCGTCTTTCAGTTTTAAAATACCCGGCATTTTGCTTCATGCATTTTTACCTGTTCACTATTTTTCTTGCATGGCTCCAAGTTGTTTATATGTCGATAATCAAAATATTTTGGTTTTATAGACAGACTGTTAAAAGCGATTCGACACTATGCGGGAAAGTAGCGAGAAAATATTTCAAGTTTTCGCCTTTTATCGATCATTTTATGAATCTGCGCTTCGCGTAGATTATGACGGTATGCTCGCTTTATTTTTTCGGTACAGTTCGAAGTCTCGTTTTAACCTTAAACGTCTGTTTAGTCTGATATTTTTATTATTATTTTATTTTTGATTTTTGAATTCTTGAATATTTTTTCTTTAATCTTTGTGACATGTAGATTATTTTAATGTGTTCATTTTATTTCTTTCGGATAAATTTTCATCCGTTTTTTATCATTTTCGGTCATTTTGGGTCTTTATTTTTTATTCATAAAATATTCAAAAAAATCATTTTAAATTGAGTTAATTTTAATACATTTAGTTTTTTTGGTTATTTTTATCATTTAAGGGCTATTTGGTCACAAAAAAATATTATTTACACTGTGCTTGATTCCTATTGGTTACTAACAAAAGTTACGGATCAGTAAATTGAATATATTTTGGACGGATCAGATTAAATCTGAAAACAATATTCCTTTTCATTTTCTCTATTTAAGAATCTTCATGTTCTTTGTAAAAAAAAAAGAGAGAAAGAAAAGGAGATACAAAAACACCAGCTTTCACCTCACATCCTCTCTCCACGCATAAGCCTTTTCTACTTACAGTAACCATCACCCTCCATCTATTCTCTACCCACCAAAAACCAACTCAAACAAAACACAAAAACATTGTTCCAAACAAAACAAAAACAACCGGGACCATGTTGTTTCAGAAACACAACAACATCGTCATCATCATGCTTACGATGATGATCTTCATCATAAACACAATCTTAGTAACATCATCACCATCAATTCTCCGACCTGGGTTTTACTCAAAAACATGTCCAAAAGCTGAAACCGTTGTCAGAGATGTCATGAAAAAAGCACTTCTTAAAGAACCCAGAAGTCTTGCCTCTGTTATGCGCTTTCAGTTTCATGATTGCTTTGTTAATGGGTGTGATGCTTCTATGTTGCTTGATGATACACCAATGATGCTTGGAGAGAAATTGGCCCTTTTAAATATAAATTCTCTAAGATCATTTGAGGTTGTTGATAAGGTTAAAGAGGTTCTTGAGAAGGCTTGTCCTGGAGTTGTTTCTTGTGCTGATATCATAATCATGGCTTCTAGAGATGCTGTAGCACTGACAGGAGGACCTGATTGGGAAGTGAAGTTAGGAAGATTGGACAGTTTAACAGCAAGTCAAGAAGACTCAAACAATATCATGCCAAGTCCAAGAGCTAATGCAACTGCTCTCATCACCCTCTTTAAAAAATACAATCTCTCTGTCAAAGACCTTGTAGCACTTTCAGGATCTCACTCTATCGGCCAAGGTCGTTGTTTTTCGATCATGTTTAGGCTGTACAATCAATCGGGAAGTGGTAAACCCGATCCGGCCATTGATCCACACTTCAGTGAACCTTCTGTAACACAGCTCCTCACCTACTATGTTCATAAAACCACGCCACCTACTCCTCCTCCTCCGACGACACCAGAGACGCAGTCGACGGCGCATGCGGCTACGGCGACGCTCTCAGAGACGGTTACGGCACCTCCGGAGCTTCTCTCAGCGAGACTCTCTTTGTGCACGGCCAGATCTGTGGCGCATGTTTTGAGCTTCGCTGTTTTGAGGAGGATGTTCCGTTTGACCGGCGGTGGTGTGTTTCCGGCAGGTCTATTGTTGTCACCGCTACGAATTTCTGTGCTCCGAACTATGGTTTTGATGCGGAGAGTGACGATGGACATTGTAATCCTCCTAAGCAGCATTTCGTGGTTCCGGTTGAAGCTTACGAGAAGATTGCAATTTGGAAAAAGGGGAACATGCCCGTGGGGTATCGCATGTACTCACTCTATTCTTAATCTTCCTCTTTATTATTAGTTTTTCTTTCTTAATCATGCAGATTTTGAATGAATTTGTGTAACTAATAGTTGTTGATGCAATTGTAATATTACATAATAAATAAATAAATAAATAATTGGTGTTGCAAAAAAAAAAATATAAAAAAAATATTAGTAAATCTTATATTTAGATTTAGCTTAGTATTAATTTAGAATTTTTTAATTAGTTTAGATGTATTTTATAATTTCAGAATATTTAGAATCATAATTAATAATTTTAGAATTTTAATTTAATTAGATATAAATTAGTAATGTTAGAACCTTTAATTAGTTTAGGTATATTTTGATAACTTAAAAATTTTAATTGTTTAGATCTATTTTATAACTTTAGAACTTCCAATTAGTTTAGATACATTTTGATAACTTTAGAATTTTAATTTAATCTTAGAATTTCAATCTTTAATTTAGAATTAATTTAGTTTTGATTTAAAGTTAGTAATTTTATTATCAATATAGTTTAGATTAAATTAGTAATTTTATAATGAATTTAGTTTATACTTAAACTAGTTTAGATGTAATTTAGCAACTTTAGAATTAATTTAGTTTAGACCTAATTCAGTAATATTAGAGTGTTAATTTATTTTAGAATTAATTTAATAACTTTCGAATTTTAGTTAGTAACTTTAGAGTTTTAATTTAGTTTTAGTTAATAACTTCAAAATTTTATTTAATTTAGTTAGACACTTTAGAATTCAAGTTTAGTTTACTTAGTAACCTTAGAATTTCAAATTAGTTTAGATAATTTTTTAATTACACTTTTCTTTTATTCATGATTCTTCTTTGTCCATTCATTTAATTTCTTACGATTTATCTTGTTATCTACCTTGTTCGTTTCTCATGGATTTTAATTATTTATGATTTCTTACTCGAATAGTAGATCTACCTGCTTATGATTAACTCCAAGGAAAAGATTTTAACTTTGTTGACTTCACGTCATCAAGTGTATCTCATCCAATCGTGCGAATACCCTCATTCATTTTTTGCTTATTTACTATTTTTTCCAAACTTAAGATAATTTTCCCAAAAGACTCCATTTTCAAACTCCCACCTTTTTAAGTCAAAACTTCGACACTAGGTCGTCGTATCTTCAAAAATCTCGTCCATACCCATCTTTTAGCCAAATAGACCATTTTAATCAAACAAACAATTTTAACCAAAAAATAGATATTTCAAAAGGTTCCTGCGGAGTACCGCAGATGCATTGGGTGCTAATACCTTCCCATTGTATAACCAACCCCCGAACTCTCGATCTCTTTCAAAAACGCATTGTATTTTTATTACTTTTAAGTATTATTTTACATTGCATATTTTAGGGTTTTATTTCGCTCTTTTCCTTTTTCCCTTGGAAATAATAAAGCGCGGTGGAGACTCTTGCTTTTTGTGAGTCAAGTTAATTAATAGCTTGATCTCCGATTTTCACCGCTACACCACCAAACAAAACTCAAGAGTCAAACCTCAATGGGTGTAGCATCGAGTATCAACCGACTTTGGGTTTACACCAAAGACAATTATCTCACTACGTCCTAAAAATCCAAGTTGGTCAATTAAGGTGCTAAGGTCAGTTTACGCTTTATGATACCATGCAGTGGCCCCGTATTCTCCTTGATTACTCAAGGGCTACCGGTACACACCAAAGTATCGCATCAACGTAGCTACTGTTTCAACCATGTCGGTATACCCCGCACAGCTCCCTCATAGTTTATTGCTACTTACCTAAAAGGAATTCCCCGATCCGGGTTTAGGATCCAAACAACCCAAACAGATACCCTTAAAAGTAAATCAAACAAGACAAACCAAAGAAGAAATTAAAATGACCTAGATCCTAAGGTAAACCCCACTCTTTATTTTTCCCCAACAGAGTCGCCAGTTCTATGATACGGTGGCAGAACCGACTATTATACTGGTTTGTGTTTTTTGTTTACAAATGTCGCGGTAAGCAAGATTCACCATCGACTTTTCTTTTATCTAACAAAGGAAAGGGTGAAAAGAACATAAAAGACCTTTTTTCGAGATTTCTGAGTACGGGGGGGGGGGGGGGGGGGGGGGGGGGTAGATTATGGAAAGGGAAGGTGTTAACACCCTTTCCATTCATGGTTTTCCATGGGCTCTTAGGTACTTGCTCATTTTTAAAATTTCTTTCGTGTTTGTGTGGTTTGAAAAGCTTTGAAAATGCCTTAGTGCGGTGATTCACTTTATGGTAACTCTTGTATCAGTCCTCAAGAGTGTGATAAAGTGTTTTTGAAAACTTTTGTTTGAAAAGTATGTTTGAAAGTGTATGGTGTAAAAAGATTATTTTGAGCAAGTACCTAACAGTTATCTAGCTACTCAAAAAAAGGCGTTATTTTCCTCCTATCCTTTAAACCGCGTTATCCTACTATTAGTGAGTAGGTAACCCTATTCATTGTATTTTTGAGGGACTGTCGAAAGGGACGTACGGTCATTGAAGCAATGGTTAGGAAACCTTAGTAGTTACCCTAGAGTCCGAAAGATCTTTCCGAGGCAACATTCAAATGGGTCATTTTTTATCTTTTGGGACTAGAGGGCAACCACTAAAACTCTCTATACTTCATGACCGTTTACCGAAGGCAACCGAAGTGGTGATACCCTAGGGGTGTGCATGTGCGTGTGATTGTTTTTCAATTATTTATCTTTGCACAGTTATGGTTTTCTACTGTTTCAAATTATTGATCTTTTGCATACAATCCTACACATACATCTAAACAGTTTATATATTTGCAGAAAGTAAAAGCTAAAAAGTAAATCTAATTATTACAATGCTTCGGGGAATGGGGATTACATGACCAGAAATTTTGGGGATTAAACAGTAAATAGGGAATGATAATAAATAACCTAATTAAAACTATTACAATATGTTACGTTAATAATGAAAAATAAATCGTACGACAAAAATAATTAAGCGCGAGAATTTAAATTAAAAAAAGTGCAAAACCCTAAAAAACTAATTTGAACATTAAAATATTTTTTGGATTTTTATGAAAAGGTTTGAAATTTAACCTAATTTTTCTAATTAATTTTAATTTAAAGAAAATAGTTTAAAGTTAATTAAATTAATTAATTTGCAAAATTTAATTTGTTAAGAAAAAAACTAAGTCCTAATCTTTTGTGATGATTTTCTGATTTTATGATAAAAAGTGTAGGTGTTTAGGTATTGGCTTGCATTTTTGGTAAATCCCAAGTGTATGTGTGAATGTCATGACTGATGTCATAACATTCTAGTTCAGGTTGTACTAACTCAATAGGTACATGTGCAGAAAAATATTGTAATTCAAATACTGATGTTTAGAAGTGTGTATCTGAGCATGTTTGCAAAATGATCACATTTTGCTAATCAGTAGACAGGTTTTCTCAGATGTCATAACAGATGTTATGACATCCTGTTCTGAACTAACAGGATTGCAGGATTGGATAAGTCTGAGTTTTTTCAGGAAATAACTCAGTCCCCTTTAAACAGAATCCTGCGTTTTCTGAGGAGTAACCTAGCTCAATCCTAACCTGATCAACAAAGTACTGTGACCTGGTCTTTAGGTCAAACGGAATCAACCCTAGGTTTTTGGAAACCCTAACTGAAGTTGCAGCTGCTATATATTCAACAGAGCTGCGGTTTTTGAAGATATCCCTGCTGATTGATTAGAAGATCAACTTTGTAATCTGTATAGATTTGTTTATTGTACTCCAAGCAATTATCATTGTGATAAGTGCCTTGGAATAGGTTTCAATTGTAAGGGTTGTGTAGCACTCAAAGCTTTGAAGCAAGAGTGTTTGAATGTTACTTGACTAAAGCTGTGAAGCAGAGTCAAGTTAGTTGTGTACATCACTCAAAGCTGTGAAGCACGAGTGATTGTGTTACTTGATTAAAAAGCTGTGAAGCTTAATCAAGTGTGTGTTTTGAAGAGTGTCTTCATCAATTCTCAAGTCAAATTGATTTATGTATCACTGCTGTGATTGAGGGGGAGTGAGTAGGAACTCAGGTTTAAGTTGTACTTAGATTAGAATTGCATTGGGTAGGTCTTAAGTGAAGGAGATAAACTGGTTGGTTTATTCCTGAATTAACATCTCTTATAGTGGATTCTCTCCCTGGCTTGGTAGCCCCCAGAGTAGGTGTTGTTGCATACTGAACTGGGTAAACAATTGACTGTGTTATTTACTGCTTTTGTATTTACTGTCATATAGTAAGTCAGATACGGTGTCATAACATTGGACGTGACATTGAGTATCTGTAGCCAGAATTTCAATTGGCATCAGAGCAGGCACCCTGCCTGTATTACTGGGTGAGATCTAGGGATATCACTTTCTGGCACTATGGACAAAGAAGGAGTTTTTGGAAATAGACCACCCATTCTGGATGGAACTAATTATGACTACTGGAAACCTCGTATGATTGCCTTCCTAAAATCTCTGGACAAAAAGGCTTGGAGAGCTGCTGACAAAGGATGGATTCATCCCACCATAACTGAGGAAGATGGGACAATCAGTCTGAAGCCTGAGGAAGATTGGAGTAAAGAAGAAGATGAGCTAGCCCTGGGAAATTCCAAAGCTCTAAATGCCTTGTTCAATGGAATTGATAGAAATATTTTCAGATTAGTTCATCAATATGAACTGGCCAAGGAAGTTTGGGACACTCTCAAAACTACTCATGAGGGAACTTCCAAAGTAAAAATGTCAAGGCTTCAGATGTTGACCACTAAGTTTGAGAATCTAAAAATGATGGAAGATGAAACCATTCATGAGTTTCACATGAACATCTTGGAGATTGCCAACACCTCAGGAGCACTGGGAGAAAAAATGTCAGAAGAAAAACTGGTGAGGAAGATTCTCAGATCCTTGCCTAAAAGATTTGCAATGAAGGTGACTGCCATAGAGGAAGCCCAAGACATTAGCAAGTTGAAAGTGGATGAACTTATTGGGTCTCTTCAGACTTTTGAGATGGGAATCACTAATGATGATGTCAAAAAGAACAAG